AAAAAATTTACTGGCGAAAGGTACTAAATGTTCTTACTATCGGAATAGAGAAAAAGACTTCAGAAAATATTTCTCTACGGAGAATGATCTCGTATTTTGCAACAATGTTAAGGATCTGATGAACGAATTTAAGAAGGATGTTTATAAATCTGAGGAATGGAGATTATTTCTGGATTCTTCTAAGCGAAGCCTGAAGGCTGTATTATTACATAACACTAATAAATATTCTGCAATACCTCTGGCCCATTCGGTTACCCTGAAAGAAGATTACAAAAATGTTGAGTTGGTATTAAATAAAATACAGTACAAGAAACACAACTGGCTAATCTGTGGTGATCTCAAGATTCTTACCATCATGCTAGGTCAGCAATCAGGCTTCACAAAGTTTCCATGTTTCTTATGTATGTGGGATAGCAGGGATCGTAAGAATCATTATGTAAAAGCAGAATGGCCTGATAGATCAACGTTCGAACCCCGTAAGGATAACATCATTAACAAGCCATTAGTAGAGCCATCCAAGGTCCTTCTTCCTCCTCTCCATATTAAACTTGGTTTAATAAAACAATTCGTTAAAGCGTTGAATAAAGAAGGGCTATGTTTCTCGTACCTGGGAACAAAATTTCCAAGAGTATCTGACGCTAAATTGAAAGAAGGTATATTTGACGGTCCCCAAATCCGCACATTGTTAAAGGATGAAGCATTCATAGACAAGATGGACGATAAAGAGAAAGCAGCATGGATTAGCTTCAAGGATGTAGTGGAAAATTTCTTAGGGAATCACAAGAGCGAGAACTACAAAAAACTAGTTGAAGACTTACTTAAAAATTACAATAGTTTGGGTTGCTTGATGAATTACAAGCTACACTTTCTTCATTCACACTTAGACTACTTTCCACAAAATCTTGGAGATTATAGCGAAGAACAAGGGGAACGGTTTCACCAAGATATTAAAGTAATGGAACAGCGATACCAGGGCCGGTGGGACATAAATATGATAGCGGACTTTTGTTGGACATTGAAAAGAGAACATATTATCGACGGAAAGAAACGAAAGCGGAATCCCCTACATAGATCATTCGAAGATAAAAGAACAAGAAAAAAAAGAAAATCATGAGTTTTGTAATACATGATACCCATGTCTCCATATGTGGCTGTTTGTCATGCGACGATTAGTCAGCTTCAGTATTTTTCTCAAATACTAATTTATGGCACATAATTCACTAATATGTAAAATTTTCTATTTTTCATGCAACTGTGGTCAAAATTTCCTTTTTTTAATAAAAAAAATGTATATTTGACCTTGGGATGACCTTGATTTTGACCCTGAGGTATTAAGCGGTCTTTATATTTGGGTTCAGATGCTCAAAAAATATGTTAGAATGATAACTTGACTCGATTTCACTAATTGTCGAGGATTTGACCTTTAAACGACCTTCAATGCGGCCTGATGGAGACAAACGAACACCGCGGATTTGGATTCGGCGACTCTGAAAACATAACGACATGGTAGTTTGCCCCATGAAATTCCATTATCTTATTGTCATACAAATCCTCCATCCAACAAGATTAAGTGACCTTCACATGACCTTAAGGGTTATATTAAAAAAAATTGAATATGTATCTGGACGTAAAATTTCCCGCTCTTTCAGAATCTGCAGTCAAAAATTCATTTTTCCTAGAGTAAACAGCTTTGACCTTGAACTAACCTTCAAACTTACCTCATGGAGAAAAACAAATACCGGATTTAAACTCAGCGACCCCAAAAACTTAACAGACAGATGTCTTGTATTAGTTATTGCTGATTTCTGCAATGTGACCTTCAAATGCCCTTGAACCCGACGTGCTGAGGTTAAACGAATGCCAGATTCGGACTCAGCGCGCAAAAATACGTAGGAGTACATGGGTTTTGTCGATGGACATCCAAGTTCATTTTTTTTTGTGGTCCTGTGTAATTAAAGAATGAGGATTCCGTATACGTATGTAATTTTTTGCATTTGGATTTGCGACTCTCCATTTCTATAAGACATATATGTATAAATTTATGTAATAAGTATTTTTATTGTCATAAAAATATTTTTAAATGTACATGTGTGTGTACTATAAATATAAAATCTATGTATACGATTTATTGCGTAATTGTATACTAGCCATAATACAAAACAGACTGAGAATAGTTGCTCTATAAAATTTATCTATTTTATACAATTATACGTATGTAAAATAATGACTGTTACTTATACATTGGACTCTTTTATCAAATTTTTAGAAAAAAATAACAAAGTTTAAATATTTATCTTCGCCGTATGATATTGACTATAGAATAATTCGCTCTTTAAAAACTTATTATGTAAATGAGATATTTTCTAATCAGAGTCAGTAGTTTTAGCATTTACTACGGGGTGAGGCTAATAGAGGTTCTCGCGACATTAGACGTTAGGGACGTCTTCAACTCCGCCGAGTGCGGGGATATTCTACAGGCCCTACAAGCCTCTAGAGTCCCCTCATATCTGATGCGAGTGCTAAGAGAGTACCTAAGAGATAGATGGATTATGTACGAGACGACTGAAGGTACAGTAACGAGATGAATTGCTGCAGGTATCATCCAGGGATCCATATTGGACCTGAATCTCTGGAATACATTGTACGACACACCACTGAGACTGCAGATGCCCCCGGGGGTCAAGCTAGTCGCTTACGCCGATGACGTAGTAGTGGTGATAATGGCGTGAGCTCCGGCACTGGCACAAATTTTACTGAACCGCGCGATACGAATCAACAGATGGATAACCAGACACGGACTGAGACTAGCCCTAGCTAAGACGGAGCTTATCCTTCTGATGGGAAACAGGATTGACACCCTGATTCTTACGACGGTCGGAGAGATACAGACGCAGACCAGGAGGACGGTCAAGTATCTGGGGGTGACCCTAGATACGAAGCTGACCTTCTGGCTATACATACAGAGACATCTAAGAAGGCGGCAGAGAGGATTTCCGTTTTGAGTCGCCTGATACAGCGAATACATTAGGACCGAGACAATGGAAAAAACGGCTACTGATGTTTACGACCCACACGATCATGCTGTACGGGGCAGAGGTGTGGACCGACGCGCTGGACGTCAGGAAATATAGCAAGCGACTGACAAACGTACAGCGACAGGGAGTATTGAGTATTGCCTCCGTCTACAGAACTGTCTCTGCAGAGACTGTGCTAATGGTGGCGGGTGTGATCCTGATAGACTTGCTCGCTAGAGAACGAAAGCGCGTGTACAAACAAAAAGGAGACATAACAAGAACCGAAGCCGTGGTGGAAAAAAAATCCAGGACCATGATGGACTAGAATGAACGATGGATAAGGGGCACGACTGGCGCATGGAAAAGACGCCTGATTGACAACCTGAAACCGTGGACGGAAAGGAGATTCGGGGGAGTGAATTATTTCCTGACTCAGTTTCTTACCAACCACGGTTACTTCAGGAAATATTTATTCGATAGAAGAAAAGTAAGCAGCTCTGACTGTAAATACTGCGGACACAAACGAGTCAACGCTGAGCACACTTTTTTTGAGTGTAGCCAGTGGGATACGGAGTGACGACAACTGGAGATGGAAGTAGGCAGTATCACGTCAAAAATCATCGTGGCAAAGATGCTGTAAAACAAGAACAGTTGGACAGTGATCGCGATTTACGTCAAGATAATTCTGAGGGGGAAAAAGGTGGATAGATGCCTAGAAGTCGCAGTTATCCGCTAAAAAACGCAGGGCGGTGGATATTACTTCCCCCTGTCCCAGCAATTCATTGCCAGGTCAAGGGAAAGCAAGTTTAGACGTAAGTGGTGGGCTCTGATGACTCGGCTGTTATTCATAACGGCTCAGCAACAGGCGGTCGACAAGTGCGTCACACGGTGGGAGAGCGCGACAGCGGGTTTCGCCCGCTGGCGTACTCGTACGCGCCAGGTCCATTGAGTTTGCCTGTTTTTTAATCACCATAAAAAAAAGTAGTAGTCAAGATGTAAATTTATTGCACTATAATCCTGTGTTAAATTATTAAATAACTGTATAATTTATTTTAATAACGTGCTCTTGAAGTAGCTAATAAATCTGTTTGACGAAACGTCGAGATAAAAGCCAAGGGAACGTTATTGAGTATATTTGTTTAATTTTTATACGAAGGAATTTCCCTCAAGATCATTGTATTAAAATAAATATTTTCATCTGTCATAGAGGGTAAATATATATGAATTGTAACAACATTTCTCCTGATCGTCATGCAGTTATTCGATGGATTTTCTTTAATTCTTTTTCATTATTTATCGAAATACTGTGATCCGGTGCACACGCCATAGATATTTTACGCTACGATTCTGCTGCATAGAGAAAACTATGACTTGGCGTGCCCCGTTGGTAACAGATAAATGACTACGGAACGCATCTCGTATTCTCTCTCTCTCTCTCTCTCTTGCTTCCTAAATACTGATAATATTATATATAAATCATTTAATATATTTTAATTAAATTAGTGTTCACTACTCATATCCGTATCATTTATAATTAATGATCAAATTAATTTGTTTATGTTACAGGGTTTAAATTAAAATGAGTTTGTGCAAACTCATTTTAATTTGAACCCCGTAACATAAACAAATTAGCACGTGATAAATCATTGCAATAAAGATAATTATCACGTTGCAAAGTTCACCCTATGTTCATTTGCACTTTATGATGAAATATATTAATGTTTTGAAGTACTTAAGTCCTTCTATATACTCAGTGAAGTACAAAAACTATGAAAACTCTTTGTAAAACTTGGGAAAGAAGTTTTACTTCTACCGTGCGTATACTGACCACAAGCACCTATTTATATTTTATTTGCTTAAAATAATAGCATTTTTACCTGAATCTAAAAGAAAATAATTGATGAATATGAATAACATAGCTACAAATTACTTAAAATCAGAAGAAAATATCAATGGGGGTTCGTAAAAAAGATACACTATATTTACCTGGCAACCAAAACCACATCCCTTATTTATATTACACACTAGCTTTTTTGAAGAATGACAATCTAATGGATTCTGAAGGTACCTGAAAATTAATTAGAAATTCAAATATCCAATATTTATATTCATAATTGAAAGCTATTGAAAGAGTCAAGCGGTGTTAGGCAGGAAAAATTAAAATCTTTAATTATGTTTATCTTAAGAAGTTCCATAATTTTTTTTTACAAAATATAGTTTGATAAATTTTAAATTGAAAGAAGCTCATAAGGATTTTTTAAATATTCATTATAGCATATTTGTCATACGATTTAATTTTCGTTTGCCCAAAGAAACTGCAGACTAATTATTTTGAAGGGAAAAGGTTCAGAAAGCAAAATACTTCTCGGGATGCAGCGAACTACTCTATAACTATGCACTGCATCTGAAAATAATTATACAGAAGAACGTGGACACAATAAATACTCATGGTTCCGTAGTAACTTATATTTATTCATTAGCATTTATATAACATTTGCTCTGATCGTTTGGCGATAGACTGTCATTACAAAGGTACACAGATCAAATTATGCTTTCTTTTGTATTCACACGCTGCCGGTTTCCGAGAGAATCAGCGGATTAACGCCAAAAGCTCTGTAGTGAAAATAAGGGAATGAATTGAAGAGAAAAGTTTTCGGCCTTGTCTCCCTGTGCTCAAGCGAATAAACGCCGAGTTTGTTCGTACGTGATGTAGTTTGCCGATGATATTGGTGCAAGTTAAAGATATATATATATATATATATATATAGAATTTTTTTCTTTTTTCCTTGGAGTATAAATCCCCCCCCCCTCTGAAGGGAATGATACAATAATTTAATACATAATTTTCAAAGTTTGGCGGCTTATAAATACTAAACTTAAAGATTAGTTAACGTAATTCATAGAATTTATATAATAATAAAAATAGAAATGAAAGATTTTCGTAACAATAATATGAAGATACTACTAGTGAAATAGAATATCTGAATGAAATTAAATTATTGAACAGGATTAGTAAAATGACAAAGATATGACACATATTGAATATTAAATATGAAATGGCGTGGGAACCACCAATCTGTAACATGATAAGTAACGATTAGGCGAGAAATTAATAATAACATGAGAAATCTATATCAGTGTTGAGGAACGGAAGAATCAGGCGACGGTCAGCGACTTTGATATAATCATCATTACTATTGAAAGCTGCTAGGTTTACAGGTTATATGTTTGCAGATAAATTCGTAATGGTAGTTAAAACGATAAATTGTTTGTGCCTCGCATGCTTCTCCCATTCCTCAAATTCCAGCTTAATGAACTTGTTATATAAGTACGTATACAACTCACACAGTCTATTAGCATCGAATAAGGATGCTAAGCTTATTCAGTAGATCGTGACCAGAGCATGCATATGATCGCTTCAAGTACTCAAATTGTGTAGGTTTGAGTGCAAAATCAGTGGGTGGATTTCTTTTAGATTCATAACTCGTTGTTGACTGCAGAGCAAATGAAATGTAGGTCGTGAGATAGATGGGTGTGTTGGAAGTGGCAAGTTTATATAATGTCAAGGCAAGAGATCACCTGCGTAGAACATTAAATTTGAATAATCTGTAACTATAGAAAAATCATTTATAAAAACTGCGAACAATAGTAGCCCCAGAATACTGCCCTGAGGGACGTCAGAGACAGCCCCCAGGCACTGTGATACGGAACCTATTACAGCTTGTAAGCGGACAGTTAGATAGTTATAGAACCATTTATGGGGTGTGTCATCAATAGATAGTTGTTTGAATTTGATTATGAGGATGTTGTGTGATATGAAATCATAAGCTTCCGAGAAATCAAAGAGTACTAGTATAGTAATTTCAAATTTAGTGGTAGCATAGCGGACATCATTCAGAACTTCCAAAAGAGCAGTCTGGGTACTGTAACCTCTATGAAAACTAGCTTGACATGGAGATAAGAGTTTATTTGCCTCAAGGAAGTTCAATAGCTGAATATGTACTATGCGTTCGAATAATTTTGATGATTCAGAAAGCTTACAAATAGCTCGAGTGTCTGAAATGGATGTGTGTGGATTTTTCTTTAGCAAGGAAACAATGAGAGTTTATTTCCATGCTGATGGGAAGATGCCTGTAGCGAGGAATTTGTCAAACAGTGAGGTGAGAGGAGGCATGATGAATTCGGAAACCAGTTTTAGCATCTTGACAAAGATGCCGTCATAGCCACGACCTTTAGAGGCAGCCAAAGAGAAAGAAAAGGCCAAAGCCAAAGAAAGAGAGAAGAGAGAGAGAGAGAGAGAGAGAGAGAGAGAGAGAGAGAGAGATCTGACCTTAATAAAGATGCCTTTTTCGACGATAGACTGGAGATGGCTGTAGGGAAATGCTGGTTAGTTGTTTAGTCTTTCATACTGTCGTCTTGTTTCACTGATACCTGTTATCTTTTAGGCTGCTAGCTTTCCTCCGCACTCAAACTCGTGGGTGATTAATATTTCGGAAAGGCCTCGATAATACAACATCGCTCTCTCTCCAAGTTGAGCGGTGGCGACTCAACTCGTTTTCCGACTAGTTCCCACCTACTACTCATTAGTGGCATACCTAAACGCCGACCAGCGACACTCATCTAATCGATCATTGCGCACTCTCCCTCTCTATCTTCCATTCTCGTTATCACACTGTAATGACACTCTGCACTACCATAATTGCTCTCCGTCCATCTTCCGCTGCTGGACTAATTCCGAAACAAATCAAAATTAAGCATGACCACACGTATCATAACTCACGCACGACAGTAGTTGTCAACAAAGTTCGTAAATAAAAGAGAGGAAGAAACTGCAACGAGCCCTCCTGCCGCCCACGACCTATCCCTCAAGGTCAAAAATTCTCGACGGAATCACGAAACGATCCCTCAATCTTTCCCTTGGCAGAAACTATGCCAGGCTCATGGAAATACAGGACACAGATACCAGAAAAAAGACCAAACCAAATAAAATTATGAAATAACTCACACGTCCATACATTCACCTACAGATGCTGGACAACTAAATATCTACTATCCCTGCTTGTCGACGATAACCAACTTTGATTGCCCTTTTCTTTAAGGATCTCGCGACTGGTTATTTTCGAAATAGCGCAGTCGAAACGCCTGCAGTTTCACTTCAAATAGCTAGTTGGAGGCAGCACTGCCGACTAACCCAAACGTAGAGGAAGACGAATTCGGCAGATGAATGCCAGTCGTCTCGTCCTCCACGTCTATGGGTACAGAAGTCTTATCAACCGCTGCCTCAATTCTTGAAGAGGTACGACGGCGGTTTTGTTCTTCATGGCACTTCTCGGCACGGGTATTTTCGTGCAACTCGCGCTCTTCCTCGCAGACTCACAAAGCTATGTCGCCGATAGATGCGCCCGCCAGTGCCTTAGCCACTTGCAGCTTCTTAATTTTCTTCCTCTTCTTTCTTCTAAACAGTTGATACCCTTTGTTCTCCGCCTTTTCACCTCTGGTAATCGCTAACTAACGAGAATCGTGGGCATCAATGAATGGTAATCTTGAGACGGCCACAGTTTCGGCAAAGATCTCGGTTGATGAATGGCCGAAGGCAAGAAGGTCGTGGATGCGTCCCCGTGGTAGTTGAAACATCGGTAAGACTTCATATCCATCTTCAAATCCCTTACAACAGATGCCAGACACCTGAAGAGCATGCCCGCGACTCAATTGCCAACCGTATCTAACCGCTCAGTTCGCACGACGCTACAACTCTCTAGTGATGGCTCGATCAATGGCTGTTTCCGTTCATATCGATCCGGCGACTCTCGGGACATCGGCATAGGTTGTATTTTTTACCTCTTTTGTGCCCTGAGGTAAGTAGCGGCACAGGCCAGCTCTCCTCCTCCCCCACTGTTGGCAGTAGTGCAAATTGCCTCTTCTCCACTCTGATGGTAAGTAGCGATGCAAGTATAGACTCTTCTTGTCGAAGGAGTGCCAAAATATACACCGCCAAAAATATAGTGGCCTTGTTTGCTTGCTGCTCGTTTACCCTCTGCTCCCATATAAGATTTTCTTAGAGTTTGTATCTAAGACATAAAGAAGATATATTTTTCCTCTTCCTCAGTCCTAACCATCTTAGTCGAATGCAATGGACTGGCTGAGTACAGCGGCCATTCGATATTACAAGAAGCTACATTAATAATGCCGCAGTCCTTTTTTTCTCTTTCTTCGATAGCCTGTTCCATTCCATTCCTCTTGCTCACGTCGGCTTTCATCCTCGTCGTATTCTGCCAGGTGGATGTCTAACGCAGGGCTGGATCCTCAAAACTGATAGCAAGGGTTGGGACGCTGGAGCTTCAACGATACCCAAGGTAGTCTATTAAACATATTTATAAGGAGCCGCCTGAGATAGCTCCTTTGTCACGTAGCCGCCCGTCGCTCAGGTTTCTCATTATTTAGCAACTTCAATCGGTCGTTGGTGAAAATGTGGCCGTTCGGAGATACGAATCTTGTCTTGGCATATTATGTACACTCTGCAAACTTTTGGAAAAAAAGTTCAAAATGAATAGCGACATGAATCCTACGGTATTATATAGCTTACGTAATAGAGAATAGAGAAAAACTATAACGGGTTATCATAGTTTGAATTTTTGACCATGACAATTCGGGTTAAAGTGATTTTTATGCAAAAAATTCGAATTTTTTAATCCTATTCCTTCAAGCAGATCGCAGTTTAATGTTCTAATAATATATTTTCATAGCGTTTGGAGCAAGGAATCCGAATCCATCATCAAAAGTTCGATTAAATATATATGTCTTTAAGAAAAACGCTTCTAAATTCGAGAAAACAGGAGTTAATCTTGATCTTCGTAGTTTATGGAACGACGTATTATACATATTATCTATCTCGAACAGCTAGACACGTATCTACGAGGTCCGGAAAGTATCGGGCATACCTTTATATTTTCGTGCTAGCGTTATTCTTTATCATCTGGTGGATGGCATCCTTGAAAGTAATCCCCACTTGATTGAATAACACGGTTCCATCGATGTTTCCACTTTTCAAAACAGTTCTGGAATTTACTT